CATCCATCCCTACCCGACCCCCCATCCATCCCCATTTCCTTCCCATCCCCATACCCCCCATCCATCCCCCACGCCCCCCTCCATCCCAATGCCCCCCTCCCAGCCCCCCATTCCCCCTCCATCATCCCCACCCCGTGTCTCTGTCACTGGTGGTGCCTGGGATCGGCGCCGGCCCTCGAGGTGTCCGTCCTTTGGGTATTTAATGGCCCTGTTACCGTAAAGATGCTGATTCATTAATGGCTGAATTAATTACGCCTTGTAATTTGTCAGGGATGTGTCGGTTCGTGCCCAGACACATTAGGGCTGGGAACGCTTTCCTCGTGGAAAAAAAAAAAATAGAGAAAAATCCAAGCAGGAGCTCCAACAACCCCAATGACCCCAGAGACACCCGTCCCCGTTGTGCCAAAAGACCCCAATGTCCCCCCCACACCCCGATACCCCCCCCATCCTGGTCCCATTGGGTCACGTTGGGGTGATTTCTGCTCTGTGCTTCATCTTAGCCAAAAAAAAAACATGATTTTGAACAGTTTTAGCCCCATTTTTAACTCCAACCCCCCCCCGCAATGGGAGGCAGAGCTGGGGAGACACCCCCAAAGCCACCCCTGCACCTCTCACCATCTCCAACACAGGACCCCAACCCCGACCTCATCCCACCCGGGGACCAGAGGCCAGGGGTTGCTTTTCATCGTGCTCCAATTTAATTTAAAAGCCATCTTTGCCTTAAATTTCCAAATCCAGCTCCCTACCATAATAATGATAAAGCAGGAAGCTGCCGAGCCGGACAGCGCAGATTTTTCTTGTTGACACCAAATTCCCGATTAACGGAGACCAAACATAAATCCTTCTTCATCAGAGCTGCCCGATGCAGTGCAGGGACAAATTCCCCCCCCTCCAGGGCATGGGGAGACCCCTGGGACCCCAATATATGGGGCACAGCACCCACCGGGACCCCCACGTCACCTGGGTTCCTGCTTTGGGATGTTGAGCAGCGTTGCGGAGTGGGTTTGGGGTCTGAGTGCAACCCCAAGGTTTGGGTTTGGGGTCTGAATGCACCCCCAAGGTTTGGGGTCTAAGTGCGCCCCCAAGGTTTGGGTTTGGGGTCTGAGTGCACCCACAAGGTTTGGGGTCTAAGTGCGCCCCCAAAGTTTGGGTTTGGGGTCTGAGTGCAACCCCAAGGTTTGGGTTTGGGGTCTGAGTGCACCCACAAGGTTTGGGGTCTAAGTGCGCCCCAAAGGTTTGGGTTTGGGGTCTGAGTGCAACCCCAGGGTTTGGGTTTGGGGTCCAAGTGCAACCCCAAGGTTTGGGGTCTAAGTGCGCCCACAAGGTTTGGGTTTGGGGTCTGAGTGCACCCCCAAGGTTTGGGGTCCAAGTGCAACCCCAAGGTTTGGGTTTGGGGTCTGAGTGCAACCACAAGGTTTGGGTTTGGGGTCTGAGTGCAACCCCAAGGTTTGGGGTCTGAGTTCACCCCCAGGGTTTGGGGTCTGAGTGCACCCACAAGGTTTGGGGTCTAAGTGCAAGCCAGGGTTTGGGTTTGGGGTCTGAGTGCAACCCCAAGGTTTGGGTTTGGGGTCTAAGTGCACCCCCAAGGTTTGGGTTTGGGGTCTGAGTGCAACCCCAGGGTTTGGGGTCCAAGTGCAACCCCAAGGCTTGGGGTCTGAGTGCGCCCCAAAGGTTTGGGTTTGGGGTCTGAGTGCACCCCCAAGGTTTGGGGTCCAAGTGCGCCCCCAAGGTTTGGGTTTGGGGTCTAAGTTCACCCCCAAAGTTTGGGTCCGGAGCGTAAGTGCAAGTCAGGGTTTGGGTTTGGGGTCTGAGTGCACCCCCAGTGTTTGAGGTTTGGGGTCTCAGTGCACCCCTGGATTATGGGGTATCTTAGGGTGGATGTAGGGGTGCATAAAGCCCCATGGCATCCACCCAACACCCCCATGTTCCCAAATAGGGACCCCGAAAGCTGCAGGAACACCTCAGAGAGATGATGCTGGGAAGCAATGCTGCAATGACCCCAAAGGGAAAAGCAGAGGTTTCACGGCGCACCCCCACATCCCTATGGGGTCCCTCAGGGCTGCTGCCCACCCCCCACCCCCCCAGTAGGAATAAAACAGTGGGGGTGGGCTGGGGCTGAGCTGCAGGGGCAATAAATCAACACCTGGAGCTGCAAGCTGGAGTTATTTGGCTGCAACCACGTCGGGAAGCATCTGTGCTGCAGCCGCCCGGGGGCCCC